TTTGGAAGGGGAGAAAAAGTATGGATTCACTCACCTTATCTTTGTGGAGTGATGTATTAAAAGTGTACCACAGATTTACTTTTCTCCACATTATCTCTTTCTGTCGAATGAGTCAGTGAGAAGAAATAAACATGGGGGAATTTCAGGTGATTTTTATTCAGGTAATTAGGGTGATTCCCAAATCCTTCTGATTCACACACAAATTGCAGCCTTCTATCCATGGTTTCCAACAAGCTATATGACTGTGGCTGTGCCAACACTATTGGACACACTGCAGTCTGCAAGTCACCAGGTCTGTGACGTCTTTTTTAATCTGCCCACCTTTACAGTCTGAAGGAAGATACTATCTATTAATCTTTAAGCTAAGAGCTGCAGCACCGGTGACCTCTGCCTCTGGTGTGACATCAGCTTGCTGAGGAATGAGCTTGTTCTCCCCACTCAGGTACAAGGAACCAGCCTGAGATCTGGCATGGAGAGGGGGTTGATCAGTTCGCTGCCTGTAGGGTTTATAATTTTCCATTTATCTTAACAACTTTTTTGGCCTACCTCCAGCATTGTTTTCCAGAGGAAGCGGGAGGAAAATCCTCTGACTGATGAGTGTTCTTCCAAAAGGGATTTGGCATCATTCATCCCTCCTTCAATCGTCAAAGTGACAATTTGTGCAGCTCAACTGAGGTGGAAACCAAACTTTGTTTCATAGAACCACAGAATCATGAAGGTTGGAAGACCTTTAAGATCCCCAAGCCCAACCCTAACCCACCCCACCGTGCCCACTGACCACATCCCCAAGTGCCACATCTCCATGGTTCTCAAACAGCTCCAGGGATGGGGACTCCACCACCTCCCTGCACAGCCTGTGCCACTGCACCAACGCTCTTTCAGAGAATAAGTTTTTATATCTCTTAGGGTTACTGCAAAATTCCCTTTCTTACTTCCAGTGTAGAATTCCAATACATGGAGACCAGGATTGAGATGCTGGTGATAACAATACAGGATCATGTGTATGTACATACCAGACAACAAACAGCAATTAGAGATTGTTTTGCTTAGGGATCCAAGCACAATAAACTTAGGAAATAGCACCAATAAATGGATGTGTGGGTTCTGAATTTTGTATTTGTTTTACTTTTGTTCTTTGCTCACCAGGAATAAAGCAACATAATCCTGACAACGTGCATGCTACAAGTTTTGCTCTCAGTGGAGGAGATGAGGATGGTTAAGCCCCAGGAAATGTGTTCTGTTTGATGATATTGAACAATAAACCAATGCAAAAATGTAAAAGAATGAAAAATAGCAAGGTCTTCTCAATACTTCCCCAGCCTCAGCTGTAATCCTTTGGCATCTGTAGGGTGGTTTTGAACTCTTCCTTATGGTGATGGACTGCACTCTGCAGATGACATTGGAGGAATTTACTGCAATGAAACATAACACCTTAATGAGGAAAAGAACTGCTTTCCTCCTAATGCAGCAGCTTTGTCTGGTTTTCCCTCCACCACGCAGTGTGATGGTTCAGATCTAAGACTCGTGTGGTTGTTGAATTGCCGTGATGGATTTTGGAAAGGGGAAAGTCATGTCAAGTTTATGTAAGCTTTACAGCAGCTGCTCTTTGGAAATACATCTTAATGATGGGTAAAAATACTAAGCCATAACTTATATACTTATAAAAACGTTGTTTTTTTTTTTCTTTCCCCCCAGTACTGTAATTCTAAACGTAAGTTCTTCATTGAGGTCGGCAGCTAGAGATAGACAGGATATTGTAAGGAGGTAGCCCAGGAAATGCCACTTGATGCTGGTGGCTACCAGGCATGCCTGTCAGTGACCTCTCATATCTGTCACTGTATGTTGGAAAGGACATCACAGAGCCCCCACCGTGGGCTGGCTGCCCCCCAGCTCAGCCTGCCCAGAGCCCATCCATGGACTCAGGTACATCCTGGGATGGGGCACCCACAGCTCTGGACAGCAGTGTGGGGGCCTCACCGTCCTCTGGGTAAAGAATTTTCCCCTCACATCAGACCTAAACCTGCCCTTCTTAGTTTAAAGCCATTCCCTTTGTCCTATCAATATCTGCTCATCTAAACTCAGTCTCTCACCTGTCTGTTAAGCTCCCCTTAAGTACTGATGGCTGCAGTGAGGTCTTGCCGGAGCCTTCTCAGGGCTGAAGAAGCCCAACTCTCTCAGCCTTCCTTAACAGCAAAGGTGCTCCAGCCCTCTGAGCACCTCCGTGGGGCTCCAGCTGCCCCACTGGACACAGTACTAATGCATTAGTAATGATTACTTGGGAGCATAAAACTATATCATAGAATCATAGAATCATACAATCGAGTTGGACGGGACCCACAGAGATCACTGAGTCCACCCCCGGATCCCAAATGGCACTGCCCAAATCCAAACCCCACTACTGAGAGCATTGTCCTGACTGTGAGTGAGTCTTATCATGGTGATGATGCTGATTGCCGTGCCCTAAACAAGACACAGTTTTATTACTGCCCAAGGGAAGGAGCTCAGGGTACATTTGATTGCTGAGAGATAGAGCTGGAGTCACGCAATGCCCCATCAGCTGCAATGAGAGATGTGAGCAGCAAAAGCAAGTGTTCACGCACAGAGAGCAGCGCATTTAAAGCAGGGAATTTAAAGCAAATAAAAAAGTCATTTTCCCCCCATTTCCTCCTTGCACTCAGGTCTCACCCCTCCGAATTCCCCCCACCTTGCCCCTGACTCCGCCCACCCCCCAAAAGCCACGCCCACTCCCCGCAGGCCACGCCTATTCCAATAGACCACGCCCATTCTGTCGCGAGCATTCACCAGGCCACGCCCACTCCACACAGACCCCACCCACTCCATACAGACCACGCCCTCTCTTTCGCTAAGCCCCGCCCATTCCCACAAGCCCCGCCCACTCCGTAGCCCCGCCCGCCCCGCCACGTCCGTGCCCCGCCCCGCCATGGCGTTCACGCTGTACGCGCTGCTGCAGGCCGGGCTGCTGGTGGTCAATGCCATCGCCGTGCTGCACGAGGAGCGCTTCCTTCGCCACGGTGAGAAGCCCCCGGCCCCGCAGCTCCCGGCCCCTCGGCCATGCCTGGATGTGGCTGCCGGGCCCCGGGCCCCGGGCCCTCCTGCTCGCGTCCCGCTTAGAAATTGGGGGGAGGGGGCGAAACGCGATGCTTCGGGTTTTGCGGCCGCCCCGCGGTTGGATTTTGTGCTCGGCATCCCTCCTGCCGGCTCTGTGCCTGACCTTTTCCACTCTCTTTATGCCTTTTCCTATTTACTCCCACCGTGCCCTCTCTGTGTCGGGATGCTGACATGGGGTGAATGATGTTTTCCTCCTTAACAAAAGAAACCCAAAGCGCAGAGCAGGGAGAAGCCACAGAGCAGAATTGCGGACTGCCACCATTCCTTTTAACAGGGCTCTCCGTTTCCTGCTTTTGCCCTCGTTTCTCCAAATCAGGCCAAAGCAGGACGAGAAAATCCCCAGCGCTGTCTCCCCAGAGCTCCTGGTCCTTCCATCTGGAACGTCCCGCCGTGCATCCCACAGCTTTGTTTGCCTTCAGATGGGCTCTGCGGGGAGGGCAGCTTGGCCGTTTGGAAAAGATCCTTCCCCAAAGCTGCTGGGGCTCAGGGAGTGCTGAGCACAGCTCTCAGATGCAGAGTTTGCGTTTGTTGGGCTCCACGATCCTTCTGTGTGTGTGTGTGTGTGTGTGTGTGTGTGTGTGTGCCCTCCAGCTCACAGCACTGTGATTCACAGCACTGATATTTGCTGATGTATTGCAGCTGTTGGACGGCTCTGTTGGCGGTGTTTTGTTGTTCTTTGCTTTTTAACGTGGCTGTTCTTACGGTGTGCAGTTGGCTGGGGAAGCGATCAAGGGATCGGAGGATTCGGAGAGGAACCGGGAATCAAAGCACAGCTGACAAACCTCATTCGATCCATACGGACCGTGATGAGAGGTGAGATGAGAGCTCATTTGGTGTGAGCAGCCCCTGCCTGTGAAGTTCTGTTGCTGTGCTTTAAGGACATAGCGGCAGCGTTTGCCCCTTCCTGTCGACAAACAGCTGCTGTTTCTGTTTGTCATCCTGTGGCAAATATCGTCTTGCTCACCACAAAGTATGTTTCTTCTAAATCATGCTAAAGCCAGGCAGAGAGAAAGTGGAGAAACTCCAGGCCACGATCCTGGCTCCTTCCACTGATCCTGACTCTGTGTAGGGGAAATGTCTTCACCCCGAAGGGTGACACTGTGAAATTGCATCATTTTGTGATGCGCAGAAGGAAACAGACTCAAACTTCCTTTTGTTTTCTCTGCAGTGCCACTGATAGCCGTGAACTCCGTGACAATTGTGCTCCTCCTCTTGTTCGGTTGAAGATTCCTGTTGCAAAATCTTTTGGACATCCAAAGAAGCGAATTGCTAGCCTCATTGCTCTGAGTTTTCCGGGGATACAGCACGGTTTAACTGTCAGTTTGCCGTTCAACTTAAACTAATAAAAGACACTGTTTGTATTTATCCTATTTCCTAATGTTCGCTTTCAGTTTCATTAAACAAGATAGTGGGATCCACGCAACAACGCTGCGAATCTGTTGGATTGTGACGAGGTCTGTTGGTGTCGGTAACATATCGTGATGGCTGTTGGTAGGAGGCAGGTTTGAAATGTCTTGTTACTCAGGGATGGACTTCCTTCGGTTAGCATTGGGAATTGAGAAACAAATTGCTTCCCAGTTTGTTTCTGAATTTAAAAATCACAGTGTTTTTTATTTCAGTTATTGCCACGGTTCTGTTTTAAGGCAATGCGAGTTAGGCCTCCAAACGTGTTATAAGTTACTGAAGTACCATAGGAGGTGAAGTGAAGATGGGCAAATCTGTGATTTAGCACAAATTAGTAATAAATTTTTCCTGGTCTGGCAAAAGCTAGGATTTTTCTCTTTTCAGATCAATGATGTTCAATGTGAGACAGGTTGAAAATAGGAGCAATTGCTATGCAAAATCTAAAAAAGCTGCACCTAAATTAAGGCAGCTCTGTGTTTATTTAGCATGTCGTGTTCACGTTTAGCATTTGTTACTGTTCTGTCAAGCACTGTTATTTTTTTCTGTGTGTTAAACCTTTGGGCTGGGCAGTGTGTTGGGAATGGGGAGCTGCTCTGTTTGGAGGTTCTCTGGTAATGTGGGAGGAATACCTTTTCAAATGCAGTTCTTTGCTAAAAACAGCAAATTTGCAGGCTGCTGCTTCTCTCTGTCTTCCTTTGTTCACTTAACTGCTTACTGAAAGTGAGAATCCTGCAGTTCTTTCACAGATAAATTAGTAATGACCACAGTAAGGAGGCGGCCTCAGTTAACAGTGCTGCTTTGGGCCTGGTGTTAGATAGCAATGCTGTATTTACAGTGACCAATACTCAAATAACTTTTTAGAATAAAAAGAATTAGAGTTTGTGTCTTTTCATCTTTGATAAAGTGTCTGAAATAGATTTAGCTTATTATTAAGGTAGGGAAGGTGAAAGGGAGCCGGCAGGTTCATTGTTTTAAAGCAGCTCAGTTTGTCATCTCTTCTTCTGGTGTCTTGGCAACTGTAGCATTCATTGTTGTTGTATGCAAGGATAATCTGTACAATGTATAAATGAATTTAATGATCTCCAATTGCAGCGTTTTGCAGAGTAGAGCATATCCAGGAGAAGAGTCTATGTTGTTTCCTTTTTTTTTTTTTTTTTTTTAGCGAAAACTTATAAATAAATTTTGAATTTCTAAGTTAAGCACTCTCTTTCCTAACTCTTTGTATCCATGTACGGTGGGAGTATCTCAAAGCTCTGCTTTGTCCAGTTCCTGATAGCAGAGCTACTGTTCTCAGAACACGTGGCTCTTTTCTTACCCTCAGCACGTGCTCAGAGCAGAGAGCTGCTGTGAAGTTGTGTTGTGGTCTTAGAGTGAACCCAACACAACCTGCAGAGGCAGAAAAGGCTCATGCTGGGTTCTGGAATAGGTAGGCCTGTTAGAAAAGATTCCTTACAGCAAGCTCTGTGGAAGAGGTAAGTTATGGTCTAGATCACATGGTTTCGTATATCTGTCTTGTTTCAGGTTGGATATTAGGAAAAATGCATTCTGAAGAGTGGTGGTGTGCTGGTAGCACTCCGCACTGGTGGAGGCCCCATCTCTGGTGGTGGCAAAGAACCACGGAGATGTGGCAGCTGGGGACACACGTGGGGACAGCAGGGATGCACACACTGGGGGTTGGACTTGGGGATCTTGGAGGTCTTTTTCAACCTGAACGATTTTGTGTTTCAGCGCAGGGAAAGCTTCACACACGGGTAACAGCTGGCAAAGAATCTGCCTGCCTTTCTGCACTCCAACGTGTGGAAGGCGAGCAGGCCAAGCGGGAGGCAGCAGTGGTGGATGCTCCCATTGGTTTGCAGCCCTGCTGGCGCATCGTTTTATCTGTACAGACTTAAAGTGCTAAAGACTACGAGCTGCAGCTCTGAAAATGAGGTAAAAAAAAAAAAAAAGGACCTCGCCCTCCTCCCACCCGCCCCCTCAGGAGGGTGAGCTCTCCGTGCACGCTTTACAGACGTGGCTAATCGTTCCGAAATAGATGAGCGCAGTAAGAAGGCGCGGCAGCGACGCTGAGACCAAACGGGGACTCGAACTGCGCGCGTCCCAAATTCACGTTTCCCTCACGCTGCATCCTTAGGGTTTCCGATCCGCGTCCTCTGCCCGCCGGATGTCGTGCGGTGCTGCGCCAAACGGCGAACAAACCGCAACGCAACCCGCGCCACCCCAACCTCCGCATCCTCACACGTGACGGAGCAGCGCCCCGCACGGGTCCTCACGGCGCCTTCGGGCTGCCCGTCGTGCTGCCTGCGCGAAAATGGCGCCCTCCCCGCCGTCCACGCCTGTACCGGCGCTCTGCGGGGCAGCCCCGCGTTGTGAGGACCCCGCGAGGACCCCTGAGCGGCAGGTGGGTGCGGCGGGGGGAGGGGTCGAGGTCGAGGTCGAGGTCGGGGTCCGGCCGTTGGAGCGCTGATTTCAGTCCCGCTGCCGTGGCTGTTAGTGGGGTCCTTTCCAAGCCACCCTATGATTGTGTTAAGCCTTTTCACGATGGGAGATGAAATATACCCGGTCACAGCGCTGACTGTGCGGCCAAGCCCGTGCCAGTCACGTGGTTTGTCTCTAAAGCAGCTCAGCAGAAAATGGGAGCCCGTGGTGCTGGGTCGGGTGGTCGCTGCTGCCCGGCAGGCAGGAGGAAAGCTGCTGGTTTGCTCAGCAGGGCTCGCAGCGCAGCTGTAACGTCGTGTTTTGCAAAGGCAGCTTTTTAGACTGCTTTCTTCCCCAGCTTTGGAGTGCCGGCTGCTGTTTCGCGCCGAATCTCTTGTGCCTGTTTCTGTAACGCAGGAAAGCTGCTGGACTGATTCCTCTGCAAGGAGGAGTAACCTTCTTTTGGGTGCCAGGACCTCCCAGGCTGGCAGCCTGCAGAATCCCCGTTGGCGCACACCTGTGCTGTCCCTTCTGCAGATCCAACTTCGAGGAACAAAACGAGCAGCATCCGCTTTTTCAGAGTGCTTCGAGCTTTATCGTCGGAGCTTAGGAGGGCTGTATTCGTTTTTCCTTGAACGGCACCTCTGGTGTGGCTGGGACTTGCTGCAATGTGCTCGCTGAGGCCTTGAACCAGCAATCCCAGACCTAATGATCCCCTTCCCAACTGCCGTCATTGTGTAGAGAGTTTTTGACGCAGAAAAAGAAAGGCAGTTAACAAACAAATAGCACCTGATTTCCATATATAGAGTCTTTGGGAAAATACCACCCCATCAATTATGCATTTTTTTTAAACGCTGCCTTTTATTTCTCTGTCTGAAGGGGCCCATTTCACAGTACGAGTAATGTTCTGAATAATCCCGGGCTTGGCACCAATGAGGCGCTTAACTGAGCTCCTTATTTTTATTACCCATTGTCTGCTAACCGGTTTTCTGTCATTTCATTTCTTTGCCTTCTCCCTGGGGATGAAGGATGGCAGCTCGGCGCGCGCTGAAAGCTGTCCTGGTGGATCTCAGTGGCACGCTGCACGTCGAAGACTCGGCCGTGCCGGGTGCGCAGGAAGCTCTTAAAAGGCAAGTCGCCTCTTTCTGTTCCCTCTGATAGGTTGTGTCAGGACTGCTTGCACAAAGATGCTTCTTGAAATGGGTCTGAAGATCTTGCCTTCTCCTTCTGAAAAAACTGTGTCTAAAGAAATGAAGGCATAGTGAATCAATTTCATCTCGCTTAGATGAGGGCAGAGCAGGCTGTGCAACCCCAGGGATCTTCTTGTTGTTGTTCTGACACCATTTCTGTGGAGAATTAGTCTTGCAGAAGCTGAAGAAAAGCAACAGGAAGTGGTGAATGGGCCGTAGGAAGAATAAGTCAGGAGGAATGGGTAGGGTTGAATTAAGCATGGAAGGTTTTTACTGGAGTTTTATTGACTGCTGTAAGCTTTTGTAAAGCTAGACCATCGTCTGGCTGGAAATCTTACAGAGGGATTAGGAAACTGCAGTTCTTTCCACAAATAATTCTGTGACAATCATTATTTTTTGAAGATGTAGAATGGTAAGGAACTGAAAATGACCTTAGTGTTGGATATCCATTCACTACTCAGTGAATCTTGTTAATCCATGCCATTGTCCTCCCTAAAGAGATGACAAAATGAAAGTCCTGCAACTTGCTTGGGAAATAAATGTGCAGATTCCATTTGTAGGGTTAGCTTTCAGTATTGAGGTCAAAGTTTTTAAAAAAATATTAGCAAACAGTTTTGTTTGTTTGTTCATACTTGTGAAAGATCAGCACATTTTTTTTCTGTGCAGCAAAACGAACAAGGAGAAGTGGCAGGTGCAAGCAAGACTTCCGGATTGACCAACTTTATATTGATGTACTCCATTCAGCATTTGTTTCTATAGTAACGAACAGAAGAAAGTGATGGTAGGGGAATAATTAAAGGAGATGCCATTGAAATTGTCACCTAAAATTATTTGGCTGCTCAGTAATATGTGCTAGTAATGTAGGGCAGCAAGAGGTCTGTAAACAAAAAATGTTCTGCAGCATTGAGACTTTGCTTTTCATCCGTCAGGCTGCGTGCTGCTCCGCTAACAATTCGGTTTGTGACCAACACCACCAAAGAGTGCAAGAAGGACCTGCTGGAGAGGCTGACCAAACTGGGCTTTGACATTGCGGAACATGAAATCTTCACGTCTCTGACGGCAGCCAGAAATCTTCTGGAGCAGAAGCAGGTGCGGCCCCTGCTCCTGGTGGATGAGAAGGCCCTGCCTGATTTCACAGGTGAGGTGGGCAGAGAACAGCTGGGAGGAGGTGCTGAACGACTGTCTGTTTTCATGGCTTTCTCCTCTTGATACCCTTCCACAGCTCCAAGTGGCAGTCAGAATCTTCAAATAGGCAGAAATTCAGATAAAACTTTATACATGTTATTAATTCACAGCGTAGAAAGTAATGTTTATCACTGGACTGTTGGAGATTTATTGCACCTACCAATATCCAGGGGCCCCCAGCACAAGAAGGATGCAGAGCTGTTCCAACAGGTCCAGAGGAGGGCATGAGGATTCTCAGAGGGCTGGAGCACCTCTCCTATGAAGATAGGCTGAGGGAGCTGGGCTTGTTCAGCCTAGAGAAGAGAAAGCTGCATGGAGACCTCATGGAGAACTCTGCAAATATGAAAGCTGTGAAACCTAATAATTTGTTCAGCTGACATCACATCTGGAGAAATACAGTCCCAGCAGTGTTTTGTGTTCTCAGTAAGGCTTTTTTCTAGGGCTGGGTTAGAAACAGCAGAATTCACTGAAGTTGAATCAGTTTAATCTTACCATATCCGGGATCTTTCCATCAATTTTACAGTAGCTGTTGCTAATTCTCTGTCAAATGACAAAGAATACAGATTACACTGGCAACACTTTATGCACTGCTTGGATCTGGTGTGAGTTGTTCTGTTTCTTTGTTCTGCAGGCATTTTGGCTTACCCTCAGTGTTGCTCTTGAAACACTGAAGTACGCTGAAGAATATTTTAAATTTCTGTTAGTGACTGCTATTGAATTATTCTTAGATAATCTCTCAGTAAAGTTGGTCACAGAGGGATGAATATAATCCATTCTTGGTTAATGGACCCAGATGCTTTTGGGTGGTGTCACAAATCCACGTGGCATCTCTGCATGCTGTGCTGTACTGTCTGAGCTCACTGCAGGATGTGTGCAGAAGACAGCTCTGACTGTGCTCTCTGAAGACCCAGGAGCTTGAGCTGTCACTGTGAAAGTGCAGAGAATATTCCATGTATAGATCCACACCTTTGCTACAAAAGTTTTCTTTGCTTCTAAAATACATAAAACCAATCTACAAGGCACATCTGTATCAGAAAATGATAAATTTTGCTGCAAACTGATTTATTTCACTTGTTGCATTTGCTGACTGTCTATTGCTGAGTATAAACAAAATTTAGCTCATTCAGAATGACCATTATTGTGTTTTGATTTTACAGGGATCGCCACTGATGACCCCAATGCAGTGGTCATAGGACTGGCTCCTGAACACTTTCACTATGAGATGATGAATAAAGCTTTTCGGTAAGTCGGCCACTTCTCGTGGTTGTCTGGTGCTTTTCCTACAGTTGTTCCTTGCTTGTTCCAGGAAATATTTCCATATCACCATTATGTAGTGAGGATGATGTTAATTTTTATGGGTTTGCACCCTTAACCGTTAACTTCCACTTGAAGAGGCTGGGATGCGAGTCCGTTGCTGCATCTAGCCCTCATTTCCCATTCACAGGGAAGTTGGCAGAGGGAACTTCTGCTGGTGTCAGCTTCTTTAGTTTGGTCTAAAGGAGTATTAGTGCCTGGCAGCATCCTGCTTTTCTTCAGCCTCATCCTATACTGCTCAGATAATTCAGTCAGTCACTGACTGTGAAGAGCCCAGTATGACTGGGCTGGTAGGCAGCTGCTAGGTTGAAATCTATCATGAGGCTGGCTAAATCCAAGCTGGCATGAGTCCCAAAACAAAATACATAGCGTAAGTCCATTCTCTAGGCACCGTTTGAAATGGCTGATGCTAAATTTCTTTTCTCATATACATGGGATTTTGATGCCACATTTAAAAGAATTCTCTCAAGTGAGATCCCTCCTGTAAACTGCTGAATGCAAGTGGTTGTAGTGCCACTGTCAAATTAAATCCTTCTGTATCCTGGAGGCATCCTCCCATTGAATGTAGCTGGCTGCTCTCAGATACATGTGCCAACTCTCTTCTGACAGCTTGCTTTGGAATGCATTGATCCAATAGAAATATTATGTGATAATTAAGTGAGGAGCTGACTTGAGATCAAAGGAGTAATGGTCATTTCTTAATTACTTCTCTTCCATTTCTCCACTCACTGCAGACAGTCCCATGTTCCATGCAGGTTTTTAGCAGTTTGGCCAGCTGGGAGATGCACATGGGAACCCTTTTATTGTACATAGAACTGTTGGGAATCCAGTGACCAGTTGCTTTCAGCTGTCTTCCACTTGGGATTTTTGCCAAGGAAGAAGCCCAAATTCACCTTTGTTTCTGAAGCATACTTAACTGGAGAATCCAATGGAACACAAACGTGCCTAATATCTTTGTGCCTTTTCAATACAGAAATAGAAAATCAATGCAAAATGATCCACCTCCTACCTGAGATTCACAGGAACACCCATCTCTGCTGCAATTTTACCTAATTCTTCAAATAAATGCTAGCTTGCTATAATTCCATGATTCTAAATGCCACTGGAAGACCTATTTGGGTCTCCATGAAAGTTAGTGGGTATTTTGTCATGAACTTAAAGGAAGGATCAGACCTTCAGCTGTAAATATCTTTACTTCTTTTATTTTCTTCTTCATCCTTCAGGTTGATTTTGGATGGTGCTCCTCTTATAGCTATACATAAAGCCAGGTATTTCAAGAAAAAAAATGGCTTGGCTCTGGGGCCTGGACCTTTTGTAGCTGGACTGGAATATGCCACAGACATCAAAGCAACAGTGGTGGGAAAGCCAGAGAAAACATTCTTCCTAGAAGCTTTACGAGGGACTAGCTGTGCCCCAGAGGAGGCTGTCATGATTGGTGATGTACGTGGGGACCTTACCACCTGCCTGCTAGTGCAGTGCTCAGCTCCAGTGTACAGAGGGGCTCCCTACCCTTGTTAAGAAACTGTGTCCCTGACCACAATCTAACTGTTCTCTTCCATCCCAGGACTGCAGGGATGACGTTGGCGGGGCCCAGAATGCAGGCATGCGTGGGATTTTGGTCAGGACTGGTAAGTACATGATAAATTGGTCATTTCATGAGACAGTGGTGAGTCCCATCATCTTGTCCTGGGTACTGGCAGCTCACATGCCCAAAGCAAAGCTGTGCACTGAGCCTTTGGAACCTAGAGGACTGTTGTTGTAACATCTTTGATTGTCAAAATCAGTCATATCACTGTAACCTCTGCTTGTTCAGGACCTTGATGACATTCCTAGTAATTATGCTGGCAGTTATGTATGGCAATTCCTTCAGACAGAAGTGGAACCTTGTAAGACTGGAAGGTGTTACCAGCATTACCGATAGTGTGATAGACCCATGGGCTAGGGAAGGTCTTTCTCTTTTAGTGAATAGCTGGGAGATGCTTGTTGCAGTACAGCAGATTGGCATTCCTGTTGTCATGTGTGACTGTTGCTGATCCCAAAAGGCTGCAATTTTTAGAGGAAAAAGAAGATACCCGAAGGAGTAACTGCACCTTTTTGTTCATTTCTTCTAGGTAAATATCGACCAGCAGATGAAAACAAAATCAATCCACCTCCTTACTTAACCTGTGAGAGTTTCCCAGAGGCAGTAGAACATATCCTAGAGCATCTGCTATGAGAAGTTGGATAGTTCGAAGAAACATGGGGGTTCACATAATTTACTCTTGCTTCCAAAATTGAGGTCACAGGATCAGTGCATGCTCATCAGAAACATAGCCATAAGCTCCTTCCCATCAAGATGTGAAAGGAAGAGTAGTGGTGCATGGCACCAGTGTGGTCACAACATAGCTTTTTTCCTGCATTCATTTCTTGAGGCAGTGATTAGGGACCTCGGATGATCGGCAGGACAGGTAGCACAGGAAGGCTACAGCACAACTGCTTTCCTGAAGGATGCATGGAGTGTGGTAGAGAGTTCTGTTTGTTTTCAGTTTTCATGAAATAGCTGATGGAAAGACCGCTCTGAAAAGTGTTAAGAATAAACTAAACTGGAAAACCCACAATATTTCCTGAGAGGAAACACTCGAACTGTAAAGCCTAACAACACCTTAGTCAGTCTGTAGTGGTCTCTCTGTTGTAATTTAAAGGCAGAGATAAGAGCATGTACAAGTGACTTCTATATTAAAATAGTGCCATTGTTAATAACGACTACTGTTAGCATCTTTATTCTCATTGGACCAGATCCTGGTTTTTGTTTTCCAGATTTTGCATAAAATTAAAAGTGTCAGCAGTGTACAGATGTTTTAATTAGATGCTGTTATTAAAAAGAATGGTACTCAAACAAAAATCTGGTATTAAATGCCTTAGACTTTGAATTTTTAAAGAAAGTTAGTTTTCAGCAGGGTCCTATTAACGCTACAGTTCCAAAATTTCACTGTTGTTGGTTTTTGTTTCTTTTTAATGTTATGGGAAAAACCCTTCATGAGCCGTGGGGACATATTCAAGTTTTTACACAGTTGGTTAGCAGAGCTGTAAAATGAAATTTAATTCTGTCGTGTGCATTGCTTCTCCTCTGTGTTAAACACACCAATATGAACCAACTCTGTAATGATGGGAAATAGCTTTTCTGGTCCATTTGCAAACTGTAATAATCAAAGTCCTTTACAGTTGTTTTATAGTGCTCCTGAGTCTTAAATTACTAGATTGTAATTATACAGTACTGAAGTATTAAGCTTATTGAAAATATAGGTTTGTGTTAATGAGCCATGCTCATTCTTTGTTAACAAAAAATCATTGTGATGAATGAATGGGAAGCTTGCCTTAAATGAAAGATGGTCTGGCTGCAGCCAGGTGGTGGGTTACTTACAGTTAGATTAACCTACAGCTGTGAATAAATTTAAACATCTGTGGTTCTGCCAGCACTTCTGAATCTGTGTTGTTTGTTGCTGGCGCGCATGAAGGAAGTTTGTGGGCTGCAGTCAAAGTCAGGTGAGAGATCTCTGAAGTAAAATCCTGGGAAGAAATTTCTCTCATGATTATGCTAGATTATATTGCTTTTCTACCATGACTCCCAATTGTTTCTAATCCCTTGCTCTTTCCACCTTGGAAGTAACCCAAACCAACCAGTAATACGCTCAGGCTTCGATTTCATATGAAAACAAAAAATCAACCCAATGTACCAGGCACTGTTAAGCTCAATTTCATTGAAAGCAATCACTTACTTAGGCTTGGTTAAAAAGGCACACAGGTCTCTGCTAGCAGAGCTGTGCTGATTGTGATGCTTTAGTGAGTCTCAGAAAGGAGGGTTACCCTCATCACCTGCTCCAGTTCTTGGACTCCAAACCCGTAAACAGCTACTGAGAATAAAGACTGAAAAGCAATCCATCTTTTGATCTTTATACTTGAAGTTAAGGCTGGAGTTTTCATGTCCTTTGACATTTCCTATTGGTTTATCTTCTCCCAGAAACTCAGCACTCCCTTCTCCATCACCACTCAGTCCTTCAGAGGTGGCATAAGTGCCATTTTGGATAGTGAAAGTCTTTGAAGTACTCAGTCTTTTGGGATTTTTCTTCTCAGACTGATTCAAACTCTCTCTGCCAAGCTGTGTACTTCTGGCTGAGTTTCTTTGCTGAAGGTTTGGTGTGGGTGATCACATCCAGGAAATCTGCTGTTGTGATCGTGTCCAAGTGGATTGTAGCTAAGTTACTATTACCTGGAGAAAATAGAGCCAATATGGTTTTCAGTACCAAAAGACAATCTTTTATGATCCTCCTTAGTATACAAAAAAAATAATGAACTTAGTGAGATAAAGAAAAATTCATACGTATGCAAAGAGCACAGATATTGACAAAAAAACAGGCTTAATTTCAGATGTTGTTAGATGTTTTAGGAAGATACAGGTTAGAACTTTTCTAAGCAGATGACAGAGCTCCACCTGCTGGAGTTTGGGATTTCCAGACTTGGAGCAGTAGCTCAGCATTTCCCAGATCCCATTCTCTAACTGGAGCTGTGTACCTGGCTGATGGTTTTCAAGGGCATCGAAAACTTTCCTCACTGGTCTCATGGCTGCTTCCTTGCACACGAGTTTGATGTCTGAGCCAGAGTACCCATCGGTTTCCTACAACAGAACGATACATTACAGCTTACAGGCTTACAAATCAGAAAGCAATGACTTTTAGAAGTGTAGAATCATAGAATATTTTGTGTTGAAAGGGACCACATGGATCAGAGAGTTCAACAAAATAATGAAAATTTTCTTTCTAATTTTCTGTAGGTAAACTAAAACTCACCTTTCTGTGTCCTCATCTTCCCTGTTAATAAAATAACTATATTTCTTCCCTTTCTTTTTCCTTTATGAAACAAAATAGGGAACTTTCTCTGAACAGAAGTAAAAATGGTCAACCTGGATAAGCTGTAGGTATTTCCAAAGAATTCAGGAAGTGATGAGGGGCTGAATAAAGCAAGCCCAATTTCCTTGTCAGACTCACCCCTGTCTGAATGCTTTTTTCTCCTGCAGAAGTGGAGCTGGCACAAACCTTCCCTATGCAATTAACTACTCATTACCCCAATGGATTGGAAGTGCTCCCAGCTTGGTGAGCTGGGACCTCGAGCCCTTGCTGCAGTGCTGCCTCACCTGGGCCAGCAAGCTGTAGTCCAGGTCAGTTCTCAGCTCCACTCCTCCACTATTGCTCAGAGGTGGCAGCCAATGCCAGATCATTGCCTGACGTGCCTCTTGATTTGGGAGGTTGACCAAAATCCTCTTCTCCAGCCGCCGCAGCATGGCAGAGTCCAACTCCCTGCAAGCAGAAAAGAGGAATCACCTCAGTGTGTTGTTGTGTCAATGAGTCAAAATTCTAATGGAATTTTGAGCATTCAAAGGAATACCCTTCATTTTCACTTCCTTGTGATGAATTGATGAAGCCTGAAGAAAAAAGATTGATACTTTCTGTTCCTTTCTCAAAGCATTCCATGACAAATTTCTTTTTCAAACAAAAGATTACACTGATTCCTTTTCCAGCAAAGTCTACATACAAACACCACTTCAAGAATGTGCCAGCCCAGGTTTCTGCAGACCTCAGGATGACTGGCTCTCACGTCAGAGGGATTAGGAGTCCCTCTGTCCACTGAAAATACATATTTTTGTTATCTTCAGAGTGAATTTAGTGACAACAACCAGAACAGAATAATAAGCACTGCACCAGCCCAAAAATTCTCTGAAATAACAGCTCATAGATACATTAAAAAATCTCTGCGTGAAGAACCTATACATCTCCTATGGGAGAGGGTGGGTGGCTCTTCATAGCTCTCCAAGGTTGACATCACATGGCATCACGCCTTCCTAGCACTGCCATATATCATGGAGATAGACGAGATAAACACCAATTTTCATTTCCAGTTTGTTTCTACTGACAAGTTATTTGTCCATAGAAAGTGCTGTGCTGATGAGCAGTGGGAAGCAAGGGTGGGCAGCAAACACAGGCTGAAGGGGAAGATCAATAGCGGCAGTGCAGCTTAGGACAGCGTAAAGAGCTTTGTTTAGGCTTCTTTTCATTCATCTAAAAGCAGCTTGGTACTATCTTTTTTTTTATAATCAATAAATATCCGAGCTATACAAATCTCTTGAAATCCAACTTAATACCGAATGTTTGCAAGAACACTGAGCTCTGCTGGGAAGCCACAACCTCTGTGCTATCATACCAGGGGTATTTTGAAACTTTGCTATAAAATACCCCTACACAGCTCAAGATTTCTTTCAAGAACAGTGGAGATTTGGCATTTGGGAGACAGTTATTGGCCATGGTATGGATGGGTTGTGGTTGGACTTGGTGACTGTAGTGCTCTTTTCTTTAATGGCTATATGGTTCTAAGACTGCTGGTAGCCTAATACAAAAATCATCTGTAAACAGATGAGATCGTTGAGGAGGTTCAAATCCCACCGACCTATCTGGAAGGAAAAATTTCCATATTAATCAAGGCTAGGAGCTTCACTATTGGTGTAAGATGCTCATGGTTCTCACTAGGTTTCCATCTTCCTAAAATACTCTTCTAAGTGTACACTCAGAGATCCACCACCAGCCATGTGGTGATCTTCACTGCTCAGTTTCTCCTTCTGAAAGGGTAATGATGTTACAGTAACAAACATTTCTGATGTTCTACTAATGAACCACACAAGAGATGAACAGGTTCTTGATGTGTTATTTAAACGTAACTGTTCACACTGTAGCTACTTATTTTTCAGCATTTTTATACCCAACTAGAACATAATTAAATCATAGTCTGCTCAATTCCTTTCATGTAGGTACCTAAAGACAAAATGGGGTGGATTTTGTACTGATTTAAATTCATGAGATTGTCTTAGACATAAACTCCCAAATTCACACATGTACTCTCCTGTTATAAAAACCATTGATGGTTTTGTACTCACACTATTGGGCCAGGCTAGGAGCCAGACTTGTTTGTACATCTAACCTCCACATAAATTTTGGGTGCTTACAGTTATTCTCCCAGTTAAAGAGCCTGTGAGCCTCAAGCAGGCATCAAGTCAGGTTTTCAGCATGTCCATGCAGCAGAGAAACAGAACATCTATTTCTCTGTTGATAGTCTCACAGCATGGGAAACCTACCTTCTACTTGGATGCAAAAATTATATTTTATGAACACAGAGAGGGTTTTCCCATATATCTCCCTATGGCACCCTTGTAAGAACCAGCCTGAAAAGCATTAATCATAAAAACCTTCTGGGTTGTTATCCAGAAGTGAAGCAAAAATGAAGCAAATCCAGACTAGTGCCAGACCTATGAAAACCAACTTCATAAACAAGCTTATTGATGTGCTTCAATTCCCTGCACAGGTGTTAACTTCTTCTACTTTGAAAAAAGCTTTATGAGCTACAAATCCATCCATTGAAAATAGCTGCACTTGCCCAACTGCCTCTATTTTCCCCATTTACTATTTGCAGTTGTTTAATAAGGTTTGTATGAAAGATCCAATTTCAAACCATTTATTCTGCATTAAATAAGGGCTGCATTAAAAGAGGGGTGGGCAGCAGAGAGAGGGAGGTGATTGTCCCCCTCTATTCAGCTCTTGTGAAGCCCCATATGCAGTACTCGTGGTTGGCAACCCTGCACATACCAGGGAGGTTGAAATTAGATGAGCATTGTGGTCATTTTCAACCCTGGCCATTCTATGGTTCTATGATTTTATTCCCAATTATGTTAAAGAAACCAAAGAATTTTGTCCCTCAACTTATAAAAGTCCCATTTGTTACCAATAAAATCCAACCTTCCTATTTATGGAGTATCCTTCTAAGCACTAGATGTTTTAAGCACCTTACAGTCCCAAGCTGAAACCCTTCTTAGCTTAAACATAGTAAATAACTTGCCTCTAAAGTCAAAGACTCCATTTTAAATATTAGCAGCTGGTAGCACTGGCATATGTTGACTTTATTATGGATTATTCTCATATGGCACAAATAGCAAGAATCGTAGAGTTTAAAAGTAAAAGCCCCAAATTAATCTTTAAATGCTTTAACCAAATATCAAGGCTTTTTCTGCAAAAGTCTAAATAAAATCTTTATCTGTGCTTAGAAGCTCATGCAAATGTATTCAAAACGTACTCTCTGGATCTCTTACCATGGCAGATTGGAAGCTGCTAAAACAAATACAAGATCATCAGATCGGGCCAAGCCATCCATCTGCACCAGTAATTCTGTTTTCATCCGCCGACTTCCTTCGTGTTCACCGCTACCAAGATTCAGAGAAACATTATTTGCTCAGTGCATTAAAGTAATCATCTTTATTTATACAGTGTCATTCACAGCAACTGAGCCCTTGTCACCACTTTGCCCCAGTTCCAAGCATGATTAAGCTCCATTAGCTAACATTGAAGTATTAAAATCAAGCTTTCTAATGGTTACTTAAATGCACTCTTTTCAGAGCATTAAAGTGAGGAGAATTCACCATTACTGAAACCAAACAAAATATATACATACATATTTTCTGTCCTTAATCCAGGTAATCAGCTGGATCTTCTGGTCCCAGGCATAGAGTAACTCCTGGACCAAATCCAGAGACAAACTTAGAGCTTGAAGATGGTAAGAACTACCACTCAGGTTTAATTACTTACCTCTCCAAAGGCACAGCACCCACATATCAGCATGATGTTATTACTTAACTACTTTACTTAATAGGGTTATGTAAAAACAGCTGTATAATCTTTGATAAAGGTCTTTACTGAAATACATAACTGATTGATGCTAATGAGTTTTTTAAAAATACAAAAGCAAAATTTGGTCCATAGTTTACATCTACTAACTGACAATTATTATAATTTCTATCTTTACTATATAGCATATTCAATTTACACATCTTTGTAAGAATGTAACTTATAGCAGATGACGTACATATACCCCCATGGGTTCCAAACTGTCAGAACAATATTTTTGTATTTCTCTGCTTCTCCTGCATGTTTAATGTTTTCAATCTGTTTTAAACTATAAATTTTCTACTCCATGGATGACAGTAATAAAATCCTCCTATCCTTGCAACCGTAAGCCCTGGCAATGTCATCAGAGTTAGTCCCTTAAATGAAAATGCCATTCCACTGTTGACACTGCATCACACAGTGCTCTGCTTCAGCCTGTGCTAAGTGTTATAAACCAGCTGCTTTTCACTTGCCCTTCTCAAGACACCTGTTGTTTCCCACTGCTGTCTTTACTAACTTTTCAAATACAAAATACTATTTATGCACTATTGAACCTCTTTCCTGCTTACAATCTTTGTAGACACATGCTTTTCATAGTTCCATGCTCAGTTCCCCCAACCTTTCCTCATAGGAGAGGTACTTCAGCCCTCTGAACATCTTTGTGCTTCCTCTGTATCCTCTCCAACAGCTGCACAATCTTCATGTGCCAGGGGCCCAAGGCCTGGATACAGTACAGCAGATGGGGTCACATGAGGACAGAAGAGAGGGGAACAATCTGCACCCTCTCCCAGCTGCCACCCATCTGATGATGCAGCTCAGGATACTGCCTTCCTGCTGCAAGTGCACACAGCTCATGTCCAGCATTTTGTTCACCAAATGCTTCTCTGCTGGGCTGCTCTCAGGAGGTTCTTCTCCCAGTCTGTACATATGTACTTGGGATTGCCCCAACCGAAGTGCAGCACCATGCATTTGGCCTTGTTGAACATCATTAGGTTTGTGTTGTCCCACTGTTCCAGTCTGTCCAAGTCCCTTGGGATGACATCTCTTCTTTCTATTGTGTCAGCTGCACTACTTAGCTTGGTGCCATCAGCACACTTGCTGAGATTGAATTCAATCCCACTTTCTGTGTTGCTGATATTGATCTTGAAGAGCACCAGTCCCAGATGGGCCCCTGGGGGATACCACTTGTGAACAGCCTCCATCTGGACACAGAGCCATTGACCACAGCCCTCTGGTTGCAACCATCCAACCACTTCCTTATCCACCAAATAGTTTACCCTCCAAACCCATATCTCTCCAATTTAGAGAGAAGGATGGGATGTGGAACAATGCCAAAGGCCTTGTACAAGTCCAGATAGATAACATCAGTTGCCCTTTCTTTGTCCACCAATGCTGTCACTCCATCACTGAAGGCCACCAGATGGGTCAGACATGATCTGCCCTTGGTGAAGCTGTGCTGGCTGTTTTAGATCACCTGCTCCTCCCTCATGTACCTTAACATGTCTTCATCTGCTAACATCTGCTCCACGATCTTCCCAAGCACAGAGGTGAGGCTCACCACCCTGTAGTTCCCTGGGTCTTCATTTCTACCTTCCTTAGAAATAAGAGTGATGTTTCCCTTTTTCCAATCACCAGGAACTTCACCTGACAGCCACATCTTTTCAAACACAATGGAGAGCGGCTTGGAAACCTCATCAGCCAGTTCCTTCAGGACCCTGAGATACATGCCATCTGGCCCCATAGACTTGTACATATTCAGCCTCATGAAGTGGTCTTGGACTTGCTCTACTCTTACACTGGGAGAAATTCTACTCCCCTGACTCTCACTTAGAGGTTCAGGAATACAAGAGATGTGGGAACCTTGACAGCCAGTGAAGGTTGAAGCAAAGAACTTGTTGAGTACTTCAACTTTCTTAATGCTCAGCTTTCTTAATGTCTGCTTGGAGCCAGTGGAGCCCTTCTCATTTATCAGAGGAGGTATGCTCTCTATGGCATGTCTCTTCTGACCTATATATCTACAGAATCTCTTATTATTTTGCACGTCCCTTGCCATATTCCATTCCATCTGCACCTTGGCTTTCCTCATCCTATCTCTTCATGTCTGGACAGCATCCTTGTATTCTTCCCAGGTCACATATTCCACTATATTCCACTATGTATAATTTTCCTTCTTTTCCCTCACTCAGTCTGACTAGCAGGTTCTTGCTCAGCCATGCCACCTCCCTTCCTCCTCTGCCTGATTTCTTACACTGTGGAGTGGTGAGCTCTTGTGTTCCCCAAAAGGTGTTCTTGAAGAGAGCTCTGTTACTTAGAGGCAGCTCTTCACCATCTCTAAATTTCTTAACACAGAGAGCAACTTCCCCATCCCTCCTGCCTTGCCTATCCCTTGTATAAAGCTTGTAGCACTTGATTGTAGTATCCTATCATGTTTCTGTAACAGCAATTAGGCCACAGTTTTCTAATTGCACCGTGGTTTCCATCTCCCCTTGCTTATTTCCCATGCTATGTGTGCTATTGAAAGGGTGCACTGAAAAGCGGTACAAATACTCTCCTAAATCTACTGGAAGAGCTCTTCTTAGTTACCCAGAGATGGTGCCTCTTTGGCTCATCACAGACTCCAGTTCATCCAAGAAAATTGTGGAAGGAGCGTGGTACCGGGCAAGCTCAAACAGCACCTGTTTAGAGAGAAAAGAGACAGAAAAAATAAAGAAAAGTAAATTTAAAAAAAGCATCAAGAGACACCGGTACAGAAGATCAATAACAGAGCCCAGACATCAAGCTTACAGGACAAAAGAGAGTATGTGCTCTGGGTAGGCTGAGGGTCCCTGAATCCTCTCAAATTCTGAAAGGTTTGTAAAGGAGATATAAAGAACACAGGATGTAATCCTGTCTTTGTATGTAAATCTTTCTAGCCAAATCCTATCAGAGTACCCTGAGAATAATGGGATAGAAGAAAATGATCCCTCAGAGGATTCTGGGAACTCCTGCATTGTTATCGGAGATTAAATAAACTGTCTTTTATTGGTGCTCCATTTGTAGTTTTTTAAATAAGGATTTGAGGAAAAAAAACCCAACAAACTGCACCATAATGAAAAAAAATGGACTTACTCCCTTGCTGAGAATTATTTTGTTTTTTGCAGTTATTTTGCAGTTATTTTGTTTCTCCTGATGAAACAAACATAAACTGCTTGAACCACCAGGGTTAGATTAAAAAATGGAATACTAAGCTGATACAAAATCTGGGTCTGACATTTCGAAAAAAAAAGTTTCATCTATTTTTTCTGGAATCAGGGAGAGATTTACATTAGTAGTAGGAACATGTAGTCCTTTCTTCTCTGTGGTGAAATACCACAGATTCAGTGGTACCACTGCAAGTGCTGTATCATATTCAGAAAAACCTTTTGGATGGTGTTGTGTCAAAAAAAAGACCTTCTCCTGACAGGAGGGAAACTAGGGAGCCTTGGAGCTGACCCTTGCAGAAAGGCTGAGAAGCACTTTGAAGGGATCACGAAGTTCAGTTAGCAGTTCTGCTTGACTATCTCTCATTCAATGAGCCAAAAATATTTCTTGGATTCATTTTGTATTACAAAACAATAATTCCACACCAAGAATCAGAATTCTAAGTCTTCTGCAGAGGTGATGTTCCCATTTTAAGAACTAGATACAGAATTACAAGTTTTGTCTGAGACAAGAAGGATTATGAGTATCAGAGAAATGCACCTTTCCAGTTCTGTTTTAAGCTTCAGTTCTTTAAGCAGGAACCTGATATTAGTGTAATGAAGAAGATAATCATTCTTACCCGGACAAGCTTTTCTGAATCACCTCTCCATTTGCTGACAATGGTGGATGCTGATATGTTGAAAAATGTTGTGTTGCACTCTGTGGCAACAGCCTTAGCAAGCAATGTTTTGCCAGTACCTACCAAAAAAAAAAAAAAAAAAAAAAAAGTTGAAGAAATTCACTTTCTAAAGGAATACAATTCAAATTCTTGAATAGTCCCCCTCATCCTCCTATTAGTCAGATTAAATAGGAAAAGTCCATCCAGGTTTGCCTGGGAGGTGGACTGGATGACCTCCAGAGGCCCCTTTCAGCCCCTACAATTGCGTGACTCTGTGACTCCATCAGGTCAAGGCAAGTTGATTCATGTGAGCAGCAGAGATCTAATACTAATTCTTGCTTCTCCTGATGGTTAGTGCAAGTATTGTATTTTGTAAGATTCCAGTATAGAAGTTGTTAGGGTTGTGAGAAAGGCAAATGGACAGGTTCAAGAGTGAGAGACAGATGTAATCAACAAAATGTCTCCCTCATTTCAAATTACAGAACATTTTTTTAGCAATACTTTAATACATGAGATCTTGTTAATCAGTGATTTAGCTGTAGTACAAAAATTGAATGGACAGAAAACTGGAAGGGTTGTAAAGATCTCCATACCTGGTGGTCCATAGAGCAATAAGCCTTTCCATGGAGACAGAATGCCTGTAAATAGCTGAGGGTACTGTGGGAACCAAAAAGGAATTCATGGATTGTAACTGTATCATCTATAACAAAACACAAGGCGTTGCAAACCCTACCCCTGCTGCTCCTACTGCACTCAGGAAATCTAAGAACTGTGAACAGAGGAGGAGAAACAAAACAATATAATATATATAATCTGAGTATTGAGAAAAATACTGCACTGACCATATGAAACAGTTTTAAGTGTATCACTCAAATGCTTCAATTCTTCAATGATATTCTCTTCTATACATTATTTCACATTGAATTAGCATAGGCCAAACCCAGAGCCTCTTACACTGCCAGAAGTATCAAAGAATAGGACCCCGAACTTAAGAGTTGTTATACTGAAAGGATTTTTTCCTATACAAGAATGCACATTCTGTGAAGTAGGAACAGTTCTGACAGGAAATGCCTACAAAAGCACCAAAATAGGTAGAAAATGTGACCACCACTCTAATCACAAGAAAAATGTTAATGAGACCAACAATTGTTTTCTCTTCATCTATTTAGTGCCTTACCCTTATAGGATAAACAACTGCTTCCTTGACGAGCCTCTTAGCTGCATCCAGGCCAATGATATCATCCCATTTCACATTTGGGTTATGGAGATAAATGTCCTGCAACACATGTCACATCCTGTTAGCAAAACTTCACCTCTGGCAAAGTGAAAAATCAACTCTGTTATAAAGTCATACTGTTACATAATTAACGTTTCATCTTATGTAATAGTACAAACTATCCAAATCTTCTATGAATCTTTCTTTTCCATTAGTAATATTTTGTGGCTTCGCCTTCCAGAGACTAATTGTTCTGCAGAAGATATCCTCAGTATAAGTACTTGGGATACATTCAACTCTCTAATAAAAACAGGCAGGCTCCAGGGACTGAAGAAAAATTATGTGCTTGTGTCCAAGGGGAAAATTTGATTTAATACAATTAGAAAAATTATTTATATAGAGTAGATTACACTTTCCCTTTCTATTAACAGCAAATTAAGATGAATCAGATTTATGACACCAAGTAGAGGCTTCCATAACTGTTTCCAAATTAAATTAGATTGTGCTGTGAAATAGATACCACATGCTATTTATTTTTATTGATTTACACAGTGATGATTACCATAGCAACTAAGCAATTTAAAAAACATATCCCTTAAAAAGCATATAATAAAGCAACAAACAGCATTCCCAGCTAACAAAGATAGCCAAGATCTCTGTACAAATGAAATAAGAATCCGACCTTACTTTGCTTACAACAGTTGCAAGTTCTCTCATCTCACCATTCATGCCAATAAAAGCACTAAGGGGTTTCAGTAAGCGTTCCTAAAATTAAAAAAAAATAAATAAATTCTTACCAGACTTCAGTTATTTTTAAACAGTAAAATAGTTTCAGAAATAAAATGGTGCATCACAGCAATAGCAACTTTGAAAGATGTAAAATATGGATAAGAATAATGTTTTAGAAACAAGCTATACTGGTAGTAGCTCATCTTTTCAACTGACAGAACATAACCCCATATTAACATTAAAACGAGCAGCTCTCTTATTGCATATGTAATCCTAAGCATACCATACACAAATTAAGAGAAGTGAAAAATGTAAATACGGTCACCACACTACCACAGACTCTGTTTTGAAACTTTCAAGTGTAGCAATTGCCCAGCCGTTGAATTACTGTGAGTTTCTGCCAATCTATGAATCACAAGGCACGATTTGTATCTGCTGCATACTTTTGTGTTCAAAGAGTCAACAACTGTCAAGAAGTCAGACAGCATCAAGTATGACTGAAGGAAGAAATACACCACTCCAAAACCCAAGACCTTTTGTAACACTTTGGAAACATCACTGTGGTATTTTATTTTGTTCCTGGTTATATAAACCTTATTTTATTGTACACTGAGAGGAAATACAGAAAGAAACACTTACCGATGGGTCTGGATCCCAATTAAGGCTGTTTAAACCCATTCCATTTGGGGATACTTTGACATCCTGGATCATCCCATGCAAGTCAACTACTTGGCTCTAAAGAAGAAGATAACGTGATAGGGATGGTAGCTCTACTGTTAAAAACACACTGGGCCAAAATTGTGCTTAACATTATAGCAATTAGATTCTTTGCTGCAGATTTCAAATATGGGAAACAGCTGGAATCTGCATACATTTCTATCATAAAGCATGTTAGGATTCCACCAACCCTTCTTGGGTGAGGGCCTTCTCCTCCTCCAGCTCTGTTGATTGCTGAGATGCTTAAGCCAAAGTCAGATTGCTCCAGAGTTACTGTGCTCTCATTATTCTGAAAAAAAACCAACCATTTTAAGACAATACACTGTTGTATTGTACAAGGGCTACATTTTTTGTAAGGGTGATTTATGGTGAATGCTTAAATATACTGACATTAATGGAAAGACTGCTGATTTCCACATAGGTTGAGTTTCATAACTTCTTTACTTCTGATTTTGGTTTGTGACTTGCCCCCCCAGCTGACAGCTAAAAAGCAGTTTCTCCTGTAGCCTAACACCACTGATGGTGGTACTTGATGATCTTAGTGGTCTTTACCAATCTTAATGATTCTACGATTCTGTAATGCTTAAATTACATAACTAGGAAAATCCCAAAGTTACAAAAATTCTCACTGACTCCAGCTACTCCAGATAAAATCCCACCGATCTCAACTGCAATACTGCCAAGATTAAACACATTTCAACCTGTCTGGGGCTCTCTTTGGTGGGTGATTTTAGCTCTGTGCTCCCCGATGAAGTTTTTGATGATGGTTGTTGCATCGACTGCTGCTTGATCCTTGGGAGATTCTGAGAGCTTGCTGCCCTACAATACAACAAATTAAGGTTTCAAAGGCATTCACAACTTCTTTCTTACTTCAAAACAACATTATTATAGCTACGCTGTATGTTGTCCTACTTGGAAAAAGCCCCATGCATTCTCCTTACCTTCTTTGCCTTCCTCCAGTTCCCAGCTGTTGTTTATTTTCTGCTGTGGCAAAATTAATATTGAAAGGGAATTAAGATACAGTATTTGAAAAAATAACAACTTGCTTTCTTTGTCCCTCAGAAATATTTTGGAGCATATTTTCATTATCTTGGAAATAGTGATGCAAAAACAAGAATATCCCTGTGGGCCCTTCCAGCCGAAGATATTCCATTTCCCTTGGATTGCTCTCAGACATATGAAATGTTGAAAGCTGCTCAGAGATACTCCCATACCATCACCCCTACCCTGCTGATTCATTTTTGTTTGTTTGTTTGTTTGTTTGTTCTTACAAGAAGCGTAGGAAGAGATGTGGGTGTTTTCTGCAACCTCCAAGCTCTTCAGAACTGGCTTCTTCGGACTTCCATACATCACATTTTGTGCTCAAGAACAGAACCACTCCGGCTCTCAGAGTTGTAACAAAATGCTCATGTTCTGGTTTCCCTTACTCTGCATCATTCAGTTATATCTCAGACCTTTAAGCCCTTTGGAGGAAATAAGCCAACTACTTTTTTGGCACATTACCTTTAATGCATATCCTAGAACTATAGTAAGAGCATTCATGCAGTGAGCACAGAGGTACAGCGGAAGTGTCAAGAGTCTATCATTTTAGGTTTTGATGGGAAAAAAAAAGGCTTTCTTTTGGAATACATACCAGCGTCCAGGATCTTCCTTGTGATTTTAGGGTACTTTTGAAACTTTACAAAGTAATAGCTTTCATATTCCATCAAAATTGTCTCAAGGTCAACGTTGTCACAAACTTCAAAGCCACGTAAACCTAATTTTGTCTCTTGTTCCAAAGTACTTGCAGAATCCATGTACCTGGTAATTATAAAAAAGCAATGAGCAAAAAGCTGTGACTTATGCAGAACAGAAAGTTGTGAGTTACTACAGAACACAATATTGTGAAATATTACCTCATTGTGATTTCTGAGAGAAAAGGGAAACAATGGTATTAGTAAGTATACGGCATTTTTAACCTCTATCTGTCATCAAATCCACGAACTGTATTTAAAAATCATTTCAGCAAGGGATTGCTAAATGTGTTTGAAAATTACATACGACACTGTTGCTGCAGAAACTGAAACAAATAAACAGAATCATCAAGATATTTAATAGCAGATCAGCTCTTTTTCGCATGGCTGTGCTCTCCATTCAGCCATCAGAAGACAGAAGCACACAGTGTGGGAAGTCAGACACTGAAACACAGAGGTGGAGCATTGTTACTTAGATAACATACCCTTCCTCCATTAAGTAATGCAAGATGAGAATGAGGAGATTTTTCCGTCGAGCTTCTGTTCTCAGCTCATCCTGTGAATGAAGACAGAACTTGAGATCAGATGTAATGTTCACTTTATTGCTGTAAACAGCATCTCAGTGCAGCCTGTGGACAAAGATCAAGGCAACAGCATACAAGAACTGGAAAACACTGCACTGTTAATAAGCAGAACTCATGTGGCTTTCAATGTTATTTTTCTTATGCATTATCAGAGCTATCGGATGGGTGGAAAACTGTTCCTAGAAGAAAGCAAAAAAGCTTAGGTTGACAAATAATTTATGACCTTGCTGTGACTGTGGATCTCCACCAGACTTAAGCCGCTGGGCATTATAGGGTAGGGTTCTTAAAGAATACCATACAGCAGCCTGCAAATGTACACATTTGAGATAGCACAACCTGCAAAAGTCACTGAGTAGAGCAAGCAAACAGTGGCTGAGCAGAACAGGTATTTCCATGATTTTGCTGCGGGCGTGGGGCCATCTGGTGGAAAAATGAGGAAGGGCTGGGAGTTGGTTTGAACATTTCTTATCTGTTGGAAATGTATTTTACGTATTATTAAACAGATTGGTAACATTTTCCTTTTGGCTTTGGAGACAAAGGAATCAAAGGGGCTGGTGGTGTATTCCAGAGAGGTGCTGCAAAAAGAAAGGAACTAGTTGATGCTCAAGAGCAAAGGCAAAAAATCAGCATCCTGCTGTACAAGGATCTGTCATTTTTCACTTTTCCAAACTGCTGATATTCCGTAAACATTCTGAATTGTGGATGTTTTCCTATTTCCGCAGGACTTCAGCTGCATGTAGAGAGGGAATGGTAAATCTTCTGCTGTGTGAAAAAACAGGAGAACTTCTGAGTGAAAAGTTACTTAAAATTCAGCTTAGCTTTATAGTGATTTAGCCTTCCTGTTTAATTAGTAGTTGGAATTGCATGTTGTTTAGAGCCACTGGTATTACAGAGGATGTTTGAGTGCTTAAAGTTTAATAAGCTTCTATTCTTAAAAGAACAAAAAATGGATGTAATTACATTTTCAATTAGTACAGGGGATTTAGGGGTCCGTGCAATTAATAAAAGCTTAAGGCACTTAAGTGTGATCTTCTTTTAAAAACTACACAGTTGAGCACTTAACCAATTATCTCCAACACTTAGAGAACATTTTATTTATTTCTTGCTTAACAAAAGCATGCAACATATCACTCTCTTAGCAGACATTTGAAAGTAATTTCTAGCAGAATCACGTATTTTTATGAATTCATTTTGTTATTTTCATCCCTTTTACTAAAATGCATTTGCTTCAAAAATCAACTTAGTTTTGTGTAATTCCTTCAATCTGATTAAAAGACTAATTTTACTCTATAGTATTTCATTAGTATTTGGCCCTGGATTTTGGTATGAATATGTATGATTTTGTGAAGGACACAAATAGCACAAATTAAAGATTCTGAGTTTAAAAATTAATTAGGTAGAATTAAATCTCCTTCTCATTTGTACGAATTCAGTTATACCACAGTGAACACCCACTTCTGCAGCTGGACTGTGTTCATTATAGTTTATGTTTCGAAACAACTTTCACAAATCCCTACTGGGGAGGTTACAAAACAGATCCCTTCTGTCCTGCCCAAGCCCTCTAGTTGGAAGAGAGTCCAGAGAGCCACAAAGATGATCAGGGGGCTGCAGCACCTCCACTACAAAGACAGGCTGAGGGAGCTGGGCTTGTTCAGCCTGGAGAAAAGAAGGCTGCAGGGTGAGCTCACTGCAGCCTTTCAGTACCTACAGGGAGCCTACAAACAGGAGGGGAATCAACTCTTTGAAAGGGTGGATAACTGCAGGACAAGGGAAAATGGTTTGAAGCTGCGGGAGGGGAGATTGAGGTTGGATGTCAGGGGGAAGTTGTTTGCTGTGAGAGTGGTGAGGTGCTGGAACAGCTGCCCAGAGAGGCTGTGGATGCCCCGTCCATCCCTGGAGGTGTTCAAGGCCAGGTTGGATGGGGCCCTGGGCAGCCTGGGCTGGTATGAAATGTGGAGGTTGGTGGCCCTGTGTGTAGCAGGGGGTTGGAGCTTCATGATCCTTGAGGTCCCTTCCATCCCAGGCCATTCTGTGATCCTGTGGGCTAGGGGTCCTGAAGGTGTTTTCCAATCCTAAAGATCCTTTGGTGCTCTTTGGGGTTGTGTGCTGAGTGAGGATTACAGGGCTCTCCTCCGACCCTGGTTCTGTGACTTCATGATTCTCGTGGCAGTAAATCCGTTTGGTTTAGTGGCCTGGATTCCAAGGGCACTGAACGCTGTGACCATAACGCTGACAATAATCAGAGATTATTGTGACCTGCTAACGGTCTGTCCGTGCTTCTGAAAACAGTATTCTCAGCTGCACCTCAATGCTTATTTCTCCACAGATATTTGTTTTTCTGTCCTTTCCGATACACAAAACGCATCCCACCATCAGCGTGACACAAACGACAACGCTGCTTTCAATTACAAAGCGATCCGCGCTTCCTCCCCGGCCCCTTTTCCCTCCCGTATCTGAAGCGCGGGGCTGCGTGAGGCGGCGCTCAGTTCCCGCCTCCGCCACCCCCCCCCCCCGGGTCACGTGACGAGGGCGCGCGGCGGCGCACGATGGTGGCGGCGCGGCCCGGCTGTGGCGGCGGCGGTGGCGGCGGAACGGGCGGCAAGGCGTAGAAAATGGCGGATTTCGAGGAGCTGCGGGTGAGGAGGCGGGGGGGTTGAGGGGGGGGTGAGAGCAGAAGGGCGGCGAGGCACGGTGCCGCCTGGGGGGCGGGGGCTGAGGGCTGGGCCCGCGGGGAGACGCGGCCTTCTGCTTTTATTTCCTTCCATTTTTTTTTGTTTTTCATTGTCATTATTTTTATCATTATTATTATTATTTTCAATTCCCGACGTTTTCAAGGCTTGGGCGCTGCGTGGCTTTTCAGGATGACAGCGCTTTGTGGCTGCGCCCCCGTCGTAACGCCTTTTAAAAAAAAAAAAAAAAAAAAAAAGGCTTTGGCTTGGCGGCGTTTAGCTGATCTCCTTCAAATGGAGGAGAGAGAAGGAGAAATAAATAAATAAACAAGCAAACAAATAAATAAATAATCGCATCCCAGTATTTCCTCGCAGGAAACGCTGTCCTGAAGGGCCCCTTCCGGCCCTGAGCCGCTGGCAGCGGGCACGGAGCGCCGGCTGGCTTTGTCGGAGTGCAGCGGTGCCCTATGGAGAAACGCGGACTTGTTTGTTACAGAGATGAGGAACGGTTGGTTGTCTGGGCTTTTTTTTTTTTTTCTTTGAGGCCTTTGCTGCTGTTAAGTCCCTTTTCTTTTGGAGATGGGACGCGTGTGGCTGTCTGCGTGGGCAGCGGGCGCTGATGTGGGTAGCTTGCTTTCCTTCATCCAAACGCTTCTTCCTCTTTTTTTTTTTTTTTTTTTCCCACCCTCTAGGAGCAATCTGAAGGTGCTGCGGTATGGATATGCACGTGGGACCTTTTTGTGGCAGTATTGTTTTCTTCTGTCACGCTGATGGAGGTTTCCCATGGTTTGTGATTGCTGCCCGCCTTACGAAGGCCCAGTAGGGCAATTTGCTGAGTTGGATGTATTCTAGTTGGTTTTTAAGGCCTTCCTAAAGGCAGGAGGTCACAATTCTTTCTTAAATCTATCTTTTTTTTTTTCTAGAGAGAGTGAAAAGTGCATTTCCCTATTCTCACTGCAGTATCAATTAGTGCCACGCCTGTCATCCTCTGGTTTCCCTGAATATAACTTTAGGGGAGCTATGATGCAGAGGTTCCTAACTGTGTAGGGAAAGATAGCAGATGCAGAGGAACTTGCTGTTACCTCAGACCTTCAGGAAATTTGTGCATTTGTCAAGGATTCAGAAATAGCTGGAACCACAGGCCCCTTTTTTCAAAATCTTGGTTAAAATCTCTGGTGCAAGGCTCACCCTTAGATCTGGGGAGAAAAGTTATCATGACTGAACTCTCCATTAATTAGTAGTTGAAGTTAGGTGATTTAGTAATTTGTTGAGTAGTGTAGGTGACAGCTTTCTGAAATATGAAGGCATTGCTGAGTTGATGTGGTAGGTGGAGCTTTCTGGTCGGAGAGAGAACTTCTAGACTTGTTTCTCATGGATGAGTTTTTAAACTTAACCTTTTTCTATAATTTTCATTCATGGGCAGTCTGATACATGTTGAAGAGATTCTGTGGGCAGAGCTGGATGTGGATTTGTGCTGTGGAGACGAGAGAGGACTTTTTTCTTTAATAGCATCGGCCTGTGGTGGGAACTTCAGCTCACCTTGAGCTCTTGCTGCTCCCTGCTTTAGGAGATGCTAGAATCTGACTGAAGCTGCTATTTGATTGTACTTGAAAGTGATGTGTTTGCTTCATCTTAAGGAAAACAAAACCTCTTTATAGGCAAATGAATAAGCCTCTGCCAGAAGCAATTTGTGTGACACTTGTGATCAGCTTCATGGCTGTTCAGAAAAGACGTTTTAGGAGAAGAGATGGAAATATGGTCTTACAACTTATTGAGAGAAGATTACAGTTAACGTTCAGTGTATTAACTAACAGTATATATTATGATAACTATTAACAGTATTTTATCAGAGGTTATTTTGTATCCGTGTTTCACTTTTTCTGTGCTTTGTGTATGTGAAGTTACTTAAGACCAGTGAGGCTTATTATGGTAATTGAAGTTTCTCTTGTGCAGAATAATTAACAACTAATGATCATGCTGAGATACAGTGACTGGGGAGAAGAATGAGGCCAAGTAATTTACAGTGCTTAAAAAATGGAGTTGCAATGGAATGTGTCAAGCTTTGCTTTCAGGAACCTGAGCACATTGGACACCTCCAAAGTAAATACTTGCATTCACTGTCATATGAGGTGCATCCAGCTTTGGAGGATTCTGATGTGTGATATAGGAGCTGGGCTGAAGCTGCTCCAAAGCAAAATTCCCCGTAATACGGAGGTTACATCAGCTTCTAGTGTAACTTTATCTGTTTAGGGTCCTTACAGAAATCCTCAACCATCCCAAGACACGAGTTGCTCTTTCTTAGCAGTGTTACTCATTTCTGGCCCAGCGTAGACCAGCAGACTGAATTGAAAAGGTGTCACAAATGCAGTTCTCTGTTAATGTGTGGTTAAAAAGAAGTTTAAAAAGAAGCAAAATGGGATTTTTGTTTCTTATGACCTCTGAGTATGAGTTTTGGTGGACAAATTTATTTCTGGAGCACGTAAATGGTGGAATTGTCCAGTCCTGTTTCTCAGAGTTCTGTCAAACTATTTTGTGTTCATGAAGAGACCATAAAAATAAAGTGGCTGTGGTCTCGTGTGTCAAAAAAGCTTTTTATTGGGCTGTGCAGCTGTAAAGAACTTCTCTTAAGAGCAAATCGTACGTGTACATGAGTTGTGATTTCTGAGAGGAAAAGGAAACAATGGCATTAGTAAGTATATGGTACTTTTCATCTCTCTCTGTCATCAAATCCACGAACTGTATTTAAAAATCATTTCAGCACGGGATTGCTAAATGTGTTTGGAAATTATATACGACTCTGCTGTTGCAGAAACTGAAATAAGCAGAGTCATCAAGGTATTTAATAGCAGATCAGCCCTTTCTCACATGGCTGTGCTGTCCATTTGCCCATCAGAAGACAGAAGCACACAGCGCAGGAGGTCAGACATTGAAACACAGACATAGGGCACTGTCATTCTCACAATACACCCTTCCTCCATTAAGTAATGCAAATGCAGTGATATCTCTAATATATAACTTCAATCTATGCCTTGATACAGTTGGTTATGCCTCGCCTAAGCTGTTTTTTCAGCTGCTGGGACTAGAAGGACAGACTGAGCAGCACAGAAGTGTTGCTTTCCAGTAGCAGTGATAAGCAACCAGCTCAAAGTATCTTGCTGCCAAAGTCTATCCACAGCTTTGGATGCAGGAGAAGCACAGATCTGAGCACCTCTCTAACAACCACCTACCTACTTTTGTAGTGTTAATTTAAAAAGTAAACAGCCATAGGATACAAAAAAGAACTGAGAAGCCTCAGGCTGGCAGCACAAAGCCTAGTTCTGTGCTTTCTTATCAAACATTACTTAGGGGGTGGGGCAGTGAAGTGCCCTTAACTGGGGTAAGAGCTAATTGGAAGGGCAGCTGCTCTAATAATGGGTGGGATTGGTTCTAATTAGTGGGAAATATACAAAAAGGAGATCTGAGAGGAACTTGGTCTGGATTTGGGGGGTGGGGGGTGGAATATGTATGGAGCATGGTGGCTACTGTGATGTGTAAGAACTAATGCTGTAAGGAAAATATATATGTGTGTGTAAAATGGATAAAACATCAGGTAGGGTAAACTCTCAGTGTTTTGTGTGGAGTCCCTAGTTGTATTATAGAGGTATTATGAACTGTGGGAATGTGGAACATCTGGGGGCATTGTGTGGGTGGTAAATTCCCCCCACTGTAAGGGCAGAGCAAGTCTGAGACTGCCTCATGAGACTGGTCATGAGACACATGAATGTGTACAAGTCTATGGGGTTGGATGACGGGCATCCCAGGGTTCTGTTGGAGCTGGCTGAGGTGGTTGCTGGGCCACTCTCCATCATATTTGAAAAGTTGTGGCTGTCAGGTGAGGTCCCAAATGACTGGAGGAAGGGTCACGTCACTCCCATTTACAAGGAAGGGAGAATGGAGGACCCAGGGAACTACAGCCTGGTGAGTCTCACCTCTGTGCCTGGGAAGATCACAGAACAGATCATCCCGGATGACATGCTTAATCACATGAGGAATGAGCGTGTGATCTGAGACAGCCAGCATGGCTTCACCAGAGGAAGGTCATGCTTGACCAATCTGGTGGCCTTTCATGATGGAGTGATGGCATTGGTGGACAAGGGAAAGGCAACCGATGTCATTTACCTGGACTTGAGCAAGGCC